AAAAAAGTATAATTAGTATACTTCAAAAAAATATAATTACATGTAATTAAATTACATTTAATATCTAATTATACCAAAATAATACGTACTATATTTTTCATCTATTTTTTAGACAAATTAAAAATACAAAATGGAAAAATAAACATAATACAAACCATCTAACGAAAAACCTAAAAATATGTTTATATTACAGCATATTATTACATAAAATACAAATTTAAATATAGTATTGTTTATTTTCTTATCTAAAACATGGAAATAAAGTTAAAGAATTTCTTTAAGTTTATATTTTATATTTTCGACTTCTGTTTTGTGCTATATTTGAATATTTTTTATTTTTCATAACTTTGACACTTTTTAATGGTTGAGGGATTGAATTGAACAATTCGATCGAGTTTAGTGGCTTATTTGATGCATTGAGTTGCCACCTCATATGCATAGTTGACACATTACGACGTGGCGCTAACCAGATGGTTACCTGCAAATAGTCAAATTTGAAACTTTTTTTCCAGTTCAGGGTACCAATTGGAACTCCATCATTTGCAATGGAGCCAAAAACTCACTTTTTTGGAATAAAGCAAACTGCCTCATTAAACTATTTGCGTTTCTTTTTTATGAACCAACAGTCAGTCCATGCAATTTTAGAAGCGATTTTCACAATGGGTCATCCAGAAACAATCTTTCTGTGCTATAGTATAGGGGCAAGACTGCGTACATCCGACCTCTCCTTAGTCCACCATAGGTGAGAGCCTTTGCGGCAGTAGGGTAATGATAATGATGACGATATTGATAATGGTGGCAATTGGAATTTTTTTAGATCAGGGGTGATTTGAACATTACAAACACAGATACAAGGACCTATTTGACCCTTCAACTTGTATTTTTTTGACTTGTTTATGTTTAAGTGTATTCTAGTAATGGAATGGGATTATGTGTATTTTACTACTACGTAGTAACTTGTATCATCTAGAATTTCATCAATTTTAACGGATTTACTCGATTCAGTGTTACTTGACCCAGTTGACCAGCTCTCAAACTAGTAAAAGTGGATCAACCCGAAAACAAGAAATATGGTCTCTCTGTTAGAATTTAGACTGCGTAAAAAATGACCCAAATAAAAACAGGTCAGTTTTTTTTTTACTTTAGGCAAGTAGTGATTCCACATCATTGTAGTAGATGGAATCTTGAAATTTTAGAAAAACCAACGACATATGCACATACTCCATACTTTATCGGTCATTGAAAAACGAACCACCTATTATGATGGCAAGAATATACTCCGTTCTTAAAGTTTTTCAAAGAAAAGGAAAAACGCATTAAAATAGTTTTTAGGAAAAAAGTCATATTAAAATGTTATTAAAATGTCAGATCGGACTTCGACTATTTTGACTTAGATAATTATAAAATATACAGAGATCATACATTTATCAGACCAGATCAGAAAATTTCAGTCTAAGTAAAAACATCCTAACCCTTAAACGCTAGAAGATTTAAAAAATGAATCTTATTTTGACGTATTACTTCTATTTGAGGTAATTTATTTAAAATATATTTTGAAATACTTGATAATACTTGCTAGATCTTTTGTAGTTAATTAGTTTTGCATGCAAATTTCTGTAACACATAAAAAAATTAGCTAGTCTCCTCAAACTGCAATTGAACGCAAGATGGTTACAAATTACAATAGTACTCAGTAACAGATATGATAAAACTTGGCTTCTCAATCAAGAAAATTTGTAAACTATTATTTCAAAATGTAAACTATTCTTTAATCTTCTCAAGTAAAAAAGGAAAGCCATTGTTTTGCTCAAAAAATAAAAGAACCATTCATCCGAATCCCTTCAGGTTTATACGTAGCCCGTAGGAGCCATTACCTTGAATCATTTCTCAAAAAATTAAAAAATTAAATACTCATTATAGGATAAAAAGAAACCATTAAGGCCTTGTTTGGTTCAAAGGAGGGGAGGGAAGGGGAGAGTCAAGAAGGGAAGGGAAGAGGAAGGAAGGATTTTGATAAAAAATTGTATTTGGTTGGAGGAAATAGGAGGAAAGGTTTAATGAAAATATTTTCGCAATTTACTTTTATTTGATAGCTTACTTTAAAAAATAGATACATGTCTAACTATTGTGAATATTACTCCTATGGTCATGAGTCATAATTTTATTTTATTTGACTTTTTACTTTTTTAATTTTATAATTTTCATTTTTCAGTTTGGAATTTTAATTTTTTTATTTTTATTTTTTAATTTTTTATTTTTAATTTTTAAAAATTTTAATTTATAATTCTTAAATTTTTTAATTTTTAAAATTTTTAAATTTTTAAATTTTTAATCTTTACATTTTTAAATTTTTAAATTTTTAAATTTTTCAAATTTTTTTATTTTTTACCTTTTTATATTATAACGTTTTGTTCATTCACGTAGGAGATGGATAGTTTGTGGTTATCAACCCGTTTCCTCCGAAATACCCCGATTTGGGGATTTAGAATGGGAGGAAGTGAAGGATTTTGAAAGTCTTCCACTTTCCTCCCCTTCCCCCCTATTTCCTTTAACCAAACACACAAATCCCCTAATTTCCTTCCCTCCCCTCCCAAACCCTCCAACCAAACAGGACCTAAATGATCTCTACGAAATGCACAAACACACATTAGAAAACTGAAAACCACCTAAATAAACACTCATTTAAGAAAATGTCTAGTAAACTTACAATGGCATCAAATCCATAACGCAGATTACCATTCCAGTTCTCCAAATCATAGGCAGCAAAGTGTTTGCAGCAAGCAGAAGCTTGAAGATAATCCGCCGCAACCTTCCCATCAAAGCTATCGCCTTGTACTCCTCGTACATATGCCACGGCATACTTCCCCGTCACTTCCGGGTCTTCACCTGGTGTTTCTTGACCTCTCCCCCACCGTGGGTCTCTGAATATATTGATGTTTGGTGCCCAGAATGTCAACCCTGTTGTTTGGCCTGCATTGTAGAGTGCTCTAGCCTCTTTCCCAATTGCCTTCAATCAACCCATTATTTTAATAAACTACAAGTTGTGTTTAGTAAAAATGGACTAAATTAAAATTTGAAGTTGCTGTCGAGGGGGGAAAAATTGTGAATGAAAAATGTCTCAAAAGCAATTACCTTTCCAATGCGGTACCAAAGGTATTCATCGAACGAAGCGGCGGTGAGAATGACTTGAGGGAAGCTGGTGGCTGATTTGATGGTGCCGTCGAACGAAATCCCCTTCCCAAAGCCGGAGACGCCGTGCAAAGCCTCTGACCACCACTCGAAGGCGGGGACGCCGATTCGCGGAATAGCCGGGGCGGAGCTAACGAGCTGGGCAATCTTTTCGTCGAGAGTGAGTTGAGAGACGAGATCTTTCACTCTGTCGCTGATGGAGAGATCCGTTCGGCAGAAGCGGAAGGATTTTGTGTGCGGGTCAGACCCGTCGCAGGAGAAGGGCAGTTGAGCGGGTTGGGTGGAAGTAATTAGGAGTGCTAATGACAAGATTAAGCTGTGCAGGAGTCTCATGGCTAAAACTCCTCTAAGATGAGGGGCTTAATTTGGTGTATTAAGGTAGTGATTATTTATGTAAACAAAAATAGAGCTCGATAACATATTATCTATGTTTTTCAAAGGATTAATTTTCTAGTTTAACTGATTTGTATGAGCTTTAAAACTAGAAAATAATCACTCATAAAAAACTAGAGAATAATAAAAGTAAAAGTATAAAATGTGTTAAACATAAAAAAAAGAAAAATGTCAAAAAGTATAATAAAGGATATGAATAGGTGTCACCAAATTCTTAAATATAGAAACGTGTCAAATGATTCAAAACTTCACAATGATTGAAGTAAATAAATAAATAAATATGTACTCAATAGAGGAAGTATTATTTTTACAAAAATACTAGTATTCTACGTGTGCGATTCACGGGGAATAATCGTATTCAAAGATATATGACGTAAGTCAAAAAAAAATAGTGACACAATTTTAAAAATTTAATAACTTTTTGTACATACTTAAGAATATGATGGAAGTAGTAAGCTCAATATAAATATAAATGAATATTTATAGAATTTGAAAACAAAATGTCTTACAAATTTCGGAACATTTTTTTAAATACAACGTTCGTTGTTACATTGGTAATTTTTCCATCCGCATCACATATAACTATTTTCAAACCCGCAGGATTAGTGACATGTGAAAGCGCAACATATTGGCCATGACTGAAAACCGGTTTTTTTAAGACTAATCCAAAAAAAAAATTTGCCATAAAAGAATCCAACATATAACTGTATTTGTCTCTTCGTCTATTATTTGCCTCCCCTGCACTCCAGTTCTCAAATATCCTTATACACAAAAATAGCAAAGAGTAATATCCTGATGAAAAATCTAATAACATAAAAGAATTTGAAATGATATACCTGGAAACCACAAAGCCCTGAGCATTTCGCCAAAATAAATAGACACAAATTATCATTCAAAACAAAGCCCATATCATAGCATAAATAAATGAGTTCAAATCAAACAACATTCAGTTCAAACAAAAACATTCGGTTCTTACAAAACATAGAGGTCAAACAAAACATGCAACAACAACAAATACAATTTCCCAACCCATCAAATGCTTCCACCAGCACAACAAAATCATTGTCCAAAACATGGTGCAAATAAAACATAGTTTTTATTATTAAAATCATAAGAGAAATATCATCTCATTTCTTCAATTTGACAATCTTTCTCATATTATTCAATGAAGAGATGCATGAGGAATCCCTAATCAAATCCCTCTTCAATCTTTCTCCAGTGCTCGCATTCTTGTGCTCTTCGTTGTTGGCTTTTCCGTCATCAGGAGTAGTAACTTCACCTTGTGAAGAATATGCCTACACCATCGCATAAGCTAAAACTCACATCAAAATGATTATTATAACTCAACTTCTATAATTTTACAAAGATGTAATCAAAATAACTAATGTCAATTCTATAATTATCTTCTCACAGTGAGACTCAACATGTGCATCTTGGATATGAAATCAGATTCCTATATAAGATAAATAGATTTTTTATTCCCTCCAAACTTTATAAAAATTATTTTACATTTATACTAATAATTAAATAATTTGAAAATTAATAAATCTAAACTCAGTGGTGAACCTGACCATCATCCCTGTTAACATTGAATTTCTCAACAAGAACTTCATCTCTTGTGAATTTCATCACACTGAAAGCTGAATTGTAGTTTCCAATTTGTTCCTCCCTAATCTGAACCTTGAACAACATTGACACATCTACAATCGTCTCTATCTCAGCTGGAACATAACTCTTCTCACATCCACTCTGATAACAATTAATTACAATCCAGCTAAACAGCTGTAGTAACTAATTTACAACTAAAATTCAGTAAAAAAACGAATGACACTTACGCTTAACATCATGTTTTGACAATCAACCACATCATTTCCAAACATTTCTTGCCCAACGTTATCCCAAATGAGTAAAGGTGCATTTCCAGTGGAGTCAATCACTCGGTTTACTACTTTATACCTATTGCATTCACGTATTAGCTTTGACAACATTATGTTTTTGTTAATTTTCTGTTTTTTTTTTGGGTATTTAAATCGATCATAGTTTATAAAATATTTATATTGAAAATTATTATCACCTTGGAATCCCATCAAAATAAGGTTTGCGGCATTTGGTGCTGTAAAATTTTGAACTGGGTTTTTCCAGTTTCTTGCGGCATTTAGTGCACGAAAGATACCATCAATTTTTATCGCTTTCAATTGCCACGACCTTGGCATAAATCTAAAACCTTCCAATCTGAAATCATTTATGTTCATCTCTTTAAACAACTCTAATAATGCAATGCTGTAAACATCAATCACCCACAACTATAATGGTCTTAAAATTACATCTCGAGTCTCGTACAGTTCTTCTATTGTTTTAAGTGGTTGCTTCAAACCGTCAAGATCCTCAGAAATGCTCATTTGTTTGTCTGTAGTTACTGAAATAGTGCGTATCAGCTGAGTGAGTATATTCACTTCCTGCAAGCTATTTAAACACCCAACATGCTATAGTTATATCACTATAACTAACCATAAAGGAGATCTGGATAAATTTTCAAACCTGTTCTTGAACTTTTCAAATTCAACATCATCTCCATTGATGACAACACGCGTGACATTGTAGTTGCTTGATATTTTTGGTTCTTCATATGCACATAGACGACCATTAATCCAATTTTTATTTTAACTAACGAATGGGAACAAAAAAATATGAATCATCTATAACATACTAACCTCTGAATATTCCTGCGTCACAAAACTGTAAAGTCACAATGACTGGTTCAGTCTGATCATCGCCTATATAGGGAAGAATTTGATCAACAAAGTCATCCCAAAACGTGCATGACAATTGATTCAACCTGTATCATTTCACACCACTTACAATTATATATATGTGCCAAGTAGAAAACATGCACTAAAAAAATAAACTTCAGAATAAAAATTAGGGAACCTTGTATCTTGCAAAGCGACTTCTATCAACCTATGACGACGACCATTATGAATCACTTCTCGAACCGCCTGCTTTGAAACAACTTGTCCAATAGCATCCAGTTTTTTTGCACACAACATTATTACGAAGTTTTTATTATACCATAAAATCAAAAACATGAATTTTAACAGTAGTGTACTCACCAAAAAGCTCAGTCTCATTTATTATTCTCACATTCAACAATGATTCAAATCTCTTGAACTTATACACATGGTTAGGAAATGCATCATCATCATAATTGATAACCTCTGTCTTTTCATAAAATATCATCTTAAATTTATTATCCGTTGTCTTACACTTCTTTCCATCATTCGCAACAATGAAATGACGGACAACATACAAACATCGCTCCTTAAGAATTTGTCTATATTTAGCCATCTGTGCGATCCTTATTGTTGCATGGATTCGAGCACCCTACAACGAATACAAATTATCAACTTCATTAGATGGACAAACTTCACAAATAAATAATAATATTCAAATAAAGAATGGAATTATTACCTCATTATCATGGAATACACATTCCAATCCTCTAATGTCACCTGTGTCACTTATGTTGTCGTACACACAAAGCAAACGCAGACGAAGTGCCCAATGCGTGTCCCTAGGCGTAATATCCTTCACCAAACCAAACGTTGGAGACATATTCAAGCAAAAAAAATCTAAGCCAAATTATCTGAATTGTATGAATAATTGGCCGCAAACAGCACTTCACTCGGAAGAGATTAATTTGATTGGAAGAGTGAAAAAAGAACTTAAGGAAAAAATGATACGTCGACAATAGTTGCTTGGCTAGCATAGAACACTTGTTGGCAAAAAAGGTTGGTTTGGTGGTGTCACTCGATGGGCTATTTATATTAGAAGTTTTTTTCCATTCAAAGCTCGGTCATATTGAAGAAACGTTTTTTCCCATTTAAAGCTCGGTCCCATCTATTCTAAGTCATTTTGAAGCTCGGTCCAATAAATTATGGAGTAAAATTCCCATTTAAAAAATTGTGTTTTAGTGAGATTCTAAAAGTCACTTCCATTTTTTATACTCTTCGGAACTCAAAAAGTTACTTCAATTATTGCTCTAGCATTTATTGTTGTTCTAGCACTTATTATTGTTTTACTCAATAAAGCTTTTATTGCACTTATTATAAAGCTTTTAGTATTCAGTATTCTAAGGCCTGTGTGCCATCTATTTTTTAGAAACGTTTTTTCCCGTCCAACACCCCTTGTCCTCCCTCCTTGGGACTTTTGTGTTTTACTATATTATATAGACTAGGAGTACATGACTTGTACACAACTTGTACATAGACATATAAATATCCTTTTTGGTTTTTACCATCCCCCTTTCATTTTTTTACCTTTCTTTCGCCATCACTTTTTTATCACCCTCTCTCTTTTTCTTCTCTTTGGGGGCTAGGCACAACACCTTCCCCTTCCCACCCATCACTTTCTTTCTCTCGTCTCTTCACCGCTTCTTCATCTTTTTTCCTCTAATTTCTCCACCATTTTCACTCCACCCAAAAATAAAAAATAGATGTAAATCATGAAAGTGTTAAATATCTTGTGAAATAGCTAAAAGATTGTACATGATCTCGGTTGGAACTAACTTTGAATTATCCTATACACATGTTATGTTAATATGCCCAAATAAAAACGGTTTGTGAGAAAAAGAAACTTACCTAATTTTTTTTCATACTTGATTCTCTATTATATATGAACAATAGTTTATGAAATTAAGAATCTCGCTTAAATAAATTCACTTGGCAGATTCACTTGGCAGATTCACGTTCACAAACAATTCCAATTAGCACATTTACTCATTCCGGTGGCTATTGCATGTAGTCGGACATTTCATGTCGGGCCCACAGACAATTTCACTTAGCGCATTAGCCCATTTAAGTGGCTATTGTTTGTGATCAGACACTTCATAGCAGGTTCACAGACATTTTGATCTAGTACATTAGTGGATTTGCCTGTGAAGCAGACATGAACTGCCTGGTCAAAGACAATAGCCACTTGAACGGACCTAATGTACTAAGTGAAAGTGTATGTGAACGTTGCCTGAAGTATCTGGCCACAAACAATAGCCACTAAGTTGGGCTGGTGAAAGTATATGAACGTTGCCTGAAGTGTCCGCCCACAGGCAATATCCACTGGAATAGGCAAATGTGCTAATTGGAGTTGTCTCTGAACACGACTTGAAGTGTCTGGTTACAAACAATAACCACTGAAACAAGTTAATCTGTCAAGTGAACAAGCATTATCATTTACAACTCAAATGTCATATACACTCCAACATCTCAAATCTCAATGCCAACTAATCTAAAAAAACAAGCATTATCATTTACAGACCAAATGTCAACACATTCCAACATTCAAATGCTGACTAATCTATATTAATTAGTTGGCATTCTTCTTCATAAGACCATCATCTTCACAAGACCATCATGTTCCTTTCGCCATACCTTGTCAATTGCAAGGACCAATAAGTTTGTCAAATTTCTTGTTGATCCCATGTCTGCAAAACTCATATGAGATATAGAAATAGCTACGTAGAGATAATGATTATAACAAAGTTTTCAAACAATGATTATTATAATATTACAAAACTGATAAGAACGATGCTAAATCATACCAAAAAGAAAGCTTTTACTGCACTCATTAAATAAATACAATATAATATGTATACTTTAATTTAAAGTCATAGTGAAGAGCATAATTTGAATGTGGATGCAATCAACTTCCTGGAATAGCTTAGAAAACCATCTTCCATTTTGTGTGGTCACAAACAAAACTACATGTGTATGAAGTCTTAAGTAAAAAGAGACCATATATGCTCTTAACTATTTTGCAACGTGTGTTGGAAAATAATGTACACCTGCATCACAAAGAAAATGTTTCTTAATATAAGAAAAAAATTGAAATATAATGCTCTTTATTGACATAGACCAATTTGTTTTCTCTACTTTAAGTTGGAAAGAGGCCATAGTAGGATGCTACTAATAAGAATTGTAAAACTGGTAAAGAAGAAACTAAAGATAATTAACAAAAAAGGGAAGAAAATGTCTTGGATATGAACAAAAATTTTATTGAGTCATCCCAACAAAGCCCTATGTTGAAGCAAATTCAAAGAAAAACAAATTAACTAATTAATAGACGGGCATGCCAAAAACATTTCATGTGATACTTTCTTGCGAAGTGCAAAGTATCATTACTATCCACACATATATACAAAAAATGAAGTTCTAAGACATAATTATTTCCTAAGGTCATAGGAAAAATCTTAAATTCAACGTTTCAATGGACCTTAATTATTATTTTCGCTCTGAATGTATGAGTGTTGCTATGATAAGATGTGCATGAAAATCAAGAAAAAGACACCCTTTATCTAAATACATCACTTTTAATATAAGAACATGATTAAAAAATGGTTGGCTCCACTCCTTCATGTAGCATATTTAGAGTCATTCATTCATGCACAACAAATTTAGAAACTAAAATTTCAATAACAAATTGGCAAATTCATAATAAATAAAAAATCACCATATACTCTAATTTACACCGAAAAAACAGAAAACTAGAATCTAAAACTAATAAATAAAGGAAAGAGATAAAAAATCTTGCATTTAAACAAATAATTCATTGAGTCATTTAAACAAACATGTTATGAGCATTGAATTAAATAGAGTAATTGGACTAAAATTTCAATAGTTAACACCACATTATCTTACAATAGAACAAAATAGTCAATTGTTTAATGCTTAAGATACAAATATATATATAATCAGGAAAACTAAATAAATCTCATGGATGCACAAGAAAAATTGGAATATATTATTACCTCATTAATAATACTTTTAAAAAAATGGTCCATTATAGAGAGAATACTTCATCACAATATTATATATGCGAACTAAATTAGAAGATATAAGGGAAATAGTCAAATGGTGGACAAAAAAGAAAAAAAAAAGAGAAGACGAATACAGGCTGGGGGCGAGGGAGGAGAAGAGGTGTACGAGACTTCTTCGAAGATGGAAAAGGGGTTGGGAAAGAGAGGGGTCGGGTTGGAAGGGGTAAATAAAAAAAAAGGAAATGGGTAGAAATAAATTGGAGCTTTTATATGGTGTACAGTTTGTGTACAATATATGTACACTAAGTATTTCTCTTATTTTTATTAGCATTGGACGTATGTAAAATCCTTAAAGTCGTATGGACGTAAATTCTACTCCATGTATCGTTGTATTGTCAAAAAGTGTGGAACGTATAGAAAAGTTAATAAAAAGGTGGCAAAAGGTGGGAAAAGTATATAAAAGTAGAATAAAAGGGGGTAAGAAAAAAAGGATGACACCCCATCCCTGAGGGCCCCCCAACCCCGACCGGACAGTACGTTGGGAGGATGTAAATTGGACTATAATCCCAATCTAACAGATAGAGAGTGAGGCTCTGTCCCCGGTACTTACAGAGGCCCTATGCATTTTTTAGCATAGTAACCCCTCATCGCAGTTGCCGGGATTCGAACCCGGGACCTAACCCTTGTGGCACTCCCTTCCTACCAGTTGAGCTACGCCCACCGGAAATAAAAGGGGGGGGGGGGGGGGGGGGGGGGGGGGTAAGATAATCTAGAGGTGGACATGGTCCGATCCAATATTTTACTGAACTTGTACCCGTACCGTGACTATTGAAATAGTTCGGTTCAGTTCGGTCTTAGACCTAACTCCGTACGGTACGGTTCCATTTTCAAACATGACGGTATCATGTTAACTAGGTGTAAATATGCAAATTCGTTGTAGCGGCACTGCAGCATTAACGTTTAGTAAAAGTCACTTCTCCAATGCATTAAGGAAAAGAGAGATATATCTCATTTTTGTTTCGTTTTGGAAAACGATTTGGTAAATAAGTTTTTCTGTTTTCCTTTCTCTAGTTTTCCAGCAATTTTCTTTAGTAAACACGTCTTCTGTTTTTCTTTTTCCAGTTTTCCAGTTTTCCGATTTTCTGAAAAACTAGAAAATATCTCTATCAGTAAACGTGTCCTAATATTTCCATCATTTTAAAATAATAGTCTTCTTAGGTTTTCGTGGTTTTTAAGAAGAAAATAGTAGGAGTACTATAGAGGTGTAAAGTAAATGAAAAAGTAGGAAAGAGAATATATTAAAAGGCGTAAAGTAATGATAAAGTATGAAAGAGAAAGTCGTATGCAAGCTCGTACCAAATTGTAAGAGGGCTTTGTGCTAATTACTGTAACTAAGCCTTATGTAATAAAGAGATTGCACATTTGTAATTAACAATTTCATTTTAATTACATATAAGTATTACGTAGTACTATTTAATGTTTGTTTTAAAAAATACTAAGATAGGAATCTTTATTCAAATAAATAAGGATTTTGTATATTATGTGGACTATATTTAAAATTTTGAGTCTTCTGAATCGAGAGGCCTTGTGTGGTAGCACTTCTTGCACGCCCTCATATACGACCTTTCCTGCGTGTGTTAATTTTAGCTATAAATTTGATGGTAATATAAAATCATGTGCAAGTCCCATTAGACTTTATAACTTTCCTTTTTAATTTTTGAAAAATTTTGTCACTTTCTTATTAAATTAACTAATTTAGAGTTTTACTAATTTCTCTCATGTGCATGAACTTCAATAACACATTTTCAAAAAATGTGAGACACAATTTTTTAATCATATATATTCTTCTCTGCACAAATCTCAACTGCACATTTTATAAACCTCAACCAACTATTCAAGGAATGTTTTATTCTTTTATTTTTAATAACATTAAATAGCTCCACTTAGGGAAGAAAACATATGTCACCCCGTTGAAAAGTTCTCATGGAAAAATGACACGTTTATTTAGAAAATAGTTAAATAAGGTAATTCGAATATATTTTGAGAAACCCCCTTACTCCGCCGTAGGTGGGAGCCTTCGCGGCATTGGGGGGTAATGATGATGAGTATATTTTGAGAAACAATTGTAATATGTATGCAATATAATGGAGTTAGTATTTTTGAAATCCGTTTATATTAATATCATTAGGATTCAGATCGTTACAACAAAATCAACTAGCACTATCAATCCTACAGCTAAACATAGAAATGATCACCCCCTAAAAGAGCAATATGAATCGCTAATCACCCAACATGTGTGACACAACAATCACTGACCATATATATAGATCCTTCTAATGACATAATATCTAGCAGAATTGTCCATCTTATTGTAGACCTAAACTAAAGACATCAACAAAAAACAGAGCAACATAAAGAAACATAACACGAAAATAAAATCATTAAAAGTAAAATAACTAATAAATACTCGGAACTCCTTCTTGCCAGTTTTCTTGATCACTCCAAGGCGACGGTTGAGGAGCGGGACGAACCGCCGATCTGTGCTCTCCCTTTCTTAGCCTTTCACCACTCTTGTCTGCTCGTCGTCCGTGCCGCCTCCACTACCGCCACCACCCTCAAGCCATGTTTATCCGCCCAAAACCAACCCTTTGACTTCTTCCTCAATTGCTGGAATGTGACAACGTCGCTTTAGATGATCCATAGAAGTCATGATTATCCTTTCTTGAACTTGCACTTGATCAAAATGCAAAAGAAAAACCGATCCGCAGAAGTGTGACATTGCACCGCTCTTGACACGCGAGAGAAAAACCCTAGCTCTCGATAAGCGAGAGAAAGACCGCACATATGTAATAGAGTTAGTATTGATTATTGCGATGTTATAAATGTATTATTTTTAATATTTAATGATTAAATACTCATTTAAGATTGTTAATCGTTTTCTAAAATAGATATGAGAACCTTTATAGGGGATGTCTAAAAAAGTAAGGCGGGAACCTTTCTACGGGACGAGTACATTTTACTCATACATCTATTTTAAGCAATTTCTTTCTTTTTAATCATTCAGCCCTTCTATTTTTTTAATCATGTACATACATACACCAAGAATCCTCACACTAAGTGACAAACATGTAACACACATGCCATAGCTGCTTCTCTCCCCCAGTACATGGAAATCAAATGGAACGATATAGACTTGATCAAAGTCGATCCATGGGAGAATATACTATGTGGAAGGGGTATTATTATTGCACTATTTCAAAAAAAATACCCCTCAGCTTTTCTTAAGGGAAGGTGACAGATGCTCAAATCCTTCATTGGGTTCTCACTTCTCAGCAGCTTTTAGGGTCTAAAGAAGCTTTAAATCCCTCCAAAATTACACATAAGTTGTGGTACATCAAATGAAGAGGAAGCATTCCACACTGTTTAAACTTTAAACTAAAAATAAAAGTTGAACAAGTTACAACAAACAAAATATCAAAGTTTGACCGGCATGGAAAATAATAAATTAAAAACGTGCGATTGATTACAAGGAAAAGTGACAAAGCTTTTGGGACAACCAAAAAAGAAAACATGACAACATTTTAAGGGATAGAGGAGTACCATTCAAAAAACTATGTTAATAGCGTGATCTATATTTCCAACTACTAAACGCCGAGAGCCCTCTTCAATCACCATCAACCCATCCTTATTGGCAGTGCTGAGATCTTGACAAGGGTTGAGTTCAAAGTGAACTTCATGCCTTTCACCAGCTTTTAGGTTTACACTTTGAAACCCAACCAACTGTTTCATTGGGTTTCCATCTTTCTCTGTGGTAGGCTTCATGAAAAGTAGCACTGGGTGAGTTCCATCCATTTCCCAAGAGTTTTGAACTCCAACAGTGACTGAAAACTTTGTTTTCTCACATGTCTCTTTGTCAATATCATCCACTGATATGTATTTGAAAGAATTGAATCCCATAGATGTTTTTACACTTGACAGCTGGGTCAAGTTTACCATGGTTGGTGTAGTGGAAGTGAATTCATAAGCATAGGTTGAGTAGCTAAGACCGTCGCCAAAGTTGAAAACTGTAGGACCTTTGTAGAACCTATATGTACGCCCTGGGTACCCTCTAGACTTATTGGCCCTCATATTCATGTCTGTCATTGCAACATTAGTGTAATTTTTAGGGTACCATGTCATAGGTAACTTTCCTCCTGCAAGTGCATTTCATAAACAAAATGAGACTTGTTTATATCGAAGATTTGTGACAGAGCCAGAAATATTTCTAAGGGGCGCCGGAAAGAATTAGATAGACCAATGACCCCTACAGCCCCGCCATGGCTCCACCACGGGGTAATACTTTTTGTAACGGTTCTGAAACAACTGACATGAATTGTTACTAATATCGGTTACGATTGACCAGTTATTAAAGAGTCTAACATTTAATAACGGTTCTGAAACCCGACACGAAAAGCCTCCACTTTTAATAAGTACTAATACAAAGTCGGGCACAGAACGATATTAAAGCCATTCAAAGCCGACTTTCCACTAGTGCGAGGAGCATTATATAAATAGAACTAAAATATACGGAGTATATCATTTGATTCATTTCTTTAAATAGATCAGTCATTGTTTGAGGTTAAGAAAATTCTTACCAGGGTTGTGATCACCAAATATAATCTCTGCAAGCGCAGGGCCTCCCGCTTCACCCGGATAACCAGCCCATAAAATGCTGCTGATATTCGGGTGTGATTTAGCAAAGGTAATATCAACTGGACCGCCACAAACCAACACCAATATGACAGGCTTCTTTGCAGCATTAGCAACATCTGTAATGAGAAGCTCTTGATCCCCTGGAAGCTCCAAGTGCACACGATCTACCTCTTCCCTTTCTTGCCTCTGACTCAATCCCATTACTAGGACCACCTGATCGGATTTTTCGGCCAACTTTACAGCTTCATCTATTGTAGCAGAAGTACAATTCACTCCATCAACGCAGCCTTCAAGAAACGAAGGGTAATCAACGTAACTCTGCATGGCTCTAAGTATTTCAACAGATTTGCATGCCGGGCCAAAGTAATTTCCCTGAAGAACATTTGCCTTATTTCCATTAGGCCCTATAATGGCGAGGGACATACTCTTGTTCTTTGACAGAGGAAGCAGTTTATGATCATTTTTCAGCAAAACGATGCCTTTTCTTGCTGCCTCTAGAGCTAAACTCTGGTGTTCTTGACTGCAAACGTTGGTTGGAGGAATGCCACCATAAAGGAGGTCTTTGGGGTTTCCAGCAAACAATCCCAATCTCATACGAGTGCTGAATAGGTTGTGTAGAGCTCTGTCAATTTGACCTTGCGAAACTAGCTTCTGTGTTACTGCTGATTTGGTATATTGACTCAAAAATTTCCCGCAATCGACATCCATCCCTGTATGGTATTTTTTGTTCACAAAAAAAGATAACATCTTTTTATAGATAGACAAAAAGACTGCTTAAAGCGGAAGAATGAGCTGACTTGGGGGCGGACAAAGTAAATATCTCTGGAAAGGTAAGTATCAATTTCAACTACTTCAATCAAGAAAGGTAAAAGTATGACTATATTGTCATTGCTAAAACACATCACAAATCAGTAATTGTAGTCAATGTGGCCATCACTGCATCAATTATACCTGCATTGAGCACAACAGCTACAGTTTCTTCTGGAGTTTTTGTATACTTGTGGTCTTTTAAAACATTTTCTACAGCATCACAATCTGAGGCAATATACCTAAATATGCCAAAGTATATGAAAGCTTTTATATGTGTAATAATAAGAGGGCAATAAAAAGAGGTTCATTGATATATTTTCATACCCATTAAACCCCCATTGCTGACGCGCAGTTATGTTAAGAAATTCTTGATTAGCACAACTAGGGACCCCATTCACACTGTTATAAGAACACATTATTCCGCTTGCTTGGGCTTTCTGTATGCAACTCTGGAATGGTGGTTGATATGTATCGGCTAAATCTTGTTTAGTCACCTACACATTAATATAAGAAGTACATCATATTAACAGTTATAAAGTCATCATCATCATTTGAAGTGGTAGAGTGTGTCAGTCCAGGTATGGGTGCAAATTTTCAGACCCGGGTCTGAGTCTGGATCATTTGGGTTCGGGTCTGGAACACTACGTTCCGCTCGGAACCCGACTCATTAAATACATACTTCTTCCTTCACCTAAGGAGAGAGTACAAGTTCAAGTAATTAGGCCTCGACTTCTCTAGACGATTGCATTTTTTTAAGGGAGAATTCCCGAAATAGGAATAAAACCATATTTTAGTATTCCCTAAAAAGGAGTAATTAGTCCAGGATTGTCATGTTTTATTCCCTAAAAGGAGTAATTACTGCCAAGTTTGAAAAATACTGCCAAGTTTAAAGTTTGGTACTACCAAAACATGATAGTATTTACTCCTATTTAGGTATAAAAATATAATGGTCCTATTTTGGAATACGCAAACGTTTTAATCCTATTTAATTAGAACAATTTCCCTTTTTTTAAACGTCTCTAATTAATCAAAATGTTTTTTGAAATATGTATTACAAAGAAATTAAACTTTTCAATGAATAGGTTATTGGTATACCTGAATTTATTAGGGTATATTTTAAGATGTTTTACTTAAACTGAATTTATTTACATGGTGTTATCAGATCTATTTAAGTTGGTTTTAGTAAAGAATCATTATTATGCGGCGTTTTTTACTACGGAGTATTATCCAAGTCTATTCTACTTTATGTAGGTCCGGTTTGGTTGAGATGGGATCCGGATAATTAACCGCTACTTTGACTTATCTCTTTGTGATTTAATTTTGGAAGATTTCCCGTAAACAAGTTTGGAATTATTTAATTTTATATTTTTCTTTTTGAAATAAGAATCGGTACTGCTATGATTGAAAAATAATGTCATTAGTAATAGTAAATATTGTCATGTTTAATGCCTAGTAATGCAACTATTTGGCAGATGATTGCAAGGTGACAATAAATACTATCATGTTACTCTTATTTCGGGAAAAAGACATATCAATCCTATTTTAGAATTCTGAAACATGTTTACTCCTGTTGCAGGAACTTTCCTATCAATTCTTTTAACCAAATACATAATTTTTTATTTCCAGTGCAAAATTGTGTAATAATAAATTTTAGCAATTTTATTGGAAAAAAACAATTTTAGCTATTTTCATATTGAAATTATCTAATAAGTAAGATTGAAGTTAGTTTCTTAATTGTGCAATTTTCGTAATATTTGGACTGTTAACCTAAAAAAATATGTTAAAACCTAAATTAACTTATATTTGTGCATGGTTGCCATCCAGTTTGCCACCACCATGTATAAACTTGTGTTGTAACAGGACGAATATCAATTTTTGGTATTGTTTAGACTATAAAATGTACTCCAATAGTTCAATTCACGTTTTCTGTATAATGTTAGATCATCCAAAATTTCAATCTATTAAATTAAAACAATACCAAAGAATGACATTTTAAAAAATTGTAACAAAATGTTAAAACGTATTTTTGTAGCAAGATTATAATTAATTTTTATGAATTTGAATACTTTCTTTTATAAGGGATACAAATTAATTTTGTATAAGATAACAAAGTAAAACTTTTACCATAAAATAATTTTTTGTTTTTATCCAGTTCTATAAGAAGATTAATTTCTTAAAATTTTATATCAGTAGTGCGGAGTACTTTTTTTCATAAAATAGTACTTACCACGTACTATTTTTCAAATCAAGTTTTTAACTATTAATTTATTGGAGGAGTTTTTCCAAGAAGTTACTCAAAAGAATTAATTAATAAAAATATGACTCGTGTTACTATGAGTATGACATCATGACCACTTAATTAAATGTAAATATTGAACATTAAAAAAGTCATTAGTACATGTTATTACTATAGTACGTACATTTAAAATGTCACATTCTTTTATGAATAAAATGTACTTCCCCCGTTCTTAAGTAAGTGCAACAGTCAACATTTCACACTTGTAGAGACACAACTTTGACCATTAATATATATAATTCTCTATTAGTAAAAAAATTAAAAAAAAATAGTTTTTAAAAATTTACAATGAGACAAATTTAAGAATATATTTTTCAAAAAAATATATTAATACATCAATAAATAAAATGTAGTCAAAGTAGAACATGTGAATAGTGTAAAATTTTTAAATATGTCATTTTAAAAATATAGCAATTCAAATGAAGAAATCATATACGGAGTATACATTAAGAAAATGGTGTGGTACACTTAGCTTGCTTACACTAGCATTAAATCCAAAACGCAGATTGCCATTCCAGTTCTCCAAATCATATGCAGCGAAGTGTTTGCAACAAGCAGAGGCTTGAAGATGATTCCCCGTCTTCCCGCCTTGGAAATCGTCGCCTTGAACTCCTCTTACATACGCTACCGCATACTTCCCCGCCGTTTTCGGGTCTTCACCGGGTGTTTCTTGACCTCTCCCCCATCGTGGATCTCTGAATATATTGATGTTTGGTGCCCAGAATGTCAACCCTTTTGTTTGCCCTTCATTGTACATTGCTCGACCCTCTTGCCCAATTGCCTTCAATTCAATATAAATATATAAGTCTTAATAATAAATAAATATGTCAGTATATATTTTGATATTCATTTGATATTAGTTTTTGATATCTAACTAGTAAAGTACCCGTGCATACGCACGGGAAAGAGCAGTTCGTGCACATATTTTTACTCATTATCTAATTAAATGTTAAAACAAAAATAACGTTGTAGAATTCTACATTTTCAAAAAATAAGAGTACAATAAGCTAATACCATAAGTCTTGTGGTATTAGGTATGGGCTCATACAATAAAGAGTTAAATATTCAATGAAGAGTATATCAGAAAAATTTATTAGTGCCACTCATTAGAATATGCTACTTATTAATTCTCACGATTAAATTATTTTAAAATTCAATACTATTCTAAAAAGTGAATACAATAAATATTAAAATTAACGAATACTACGTATTAGTTAAATAAGAACTTGTTACTCATTAGATAAATTAGTGCTAGCATATGAGAGAGAAAATTATCTTATTCAATTCTTAGTCGACTTATCTTATATAAAAACGAACCATATATGAGAGGAAATTATTTCACCCAGTTGTTACCCGGATTAACTTTTAACTAAAAGCACTATGTATGAGAAAAAAATTATACTACTTAATTGTTAGCCGACTTATCTTATACTTATAAGAACTACATATATGAGTATTTCCCTACTCAATTATTAGCAAGTTTATCTTGTAATATACCTAATGGCACTACATATGAGAGAAAGTTCTCCTGCTCAATTATTAGCAAACTTATCTTGCTATATTTAAAAGCACTACATATGGGAGAGAAAATTTAGCCCTTCAATTGTTAGCTAGACTATCTTATATACTTAAAAAGAACTACAAATGAGAGACAAAGTTCTCCCGCTCAATTATTAGCAGTTATTATCTTTTTATTTATACCTAAAACCCTGACATATGAGATAGAAGGTCCTCTCACTCAATCATTAGCCGGCTAACCCTATATCTAAAAGTACTACATATGAGAGAGGGAATTATTCCCCTCCATTGTTAGCCGATTTACCTTATATCTAAAATAACTATGTATGACAGAAAAAATTTATATGTTAGCTTGTTAGCATGCTTGTCTTCTAATACCTAAAAAATTACATATGAGAGAAAATTCTACCGCACAATTGCAACCGGCTTATCTTATATATGATAGATAAAATCCCCCCTCTCAATTATTAGCTAGATTATTTTATACCTAAAAGCACTACTTATGAGGGAAAAAATCTCTCGCTCGATTGTTACACGACTTATGGCTTACTCTTTCTTATATTTAAAAGCACAACATATGAGAGAAAAAATCATCCTGCTCAATTGTTACATGACTTGTCTTACCATATATTAAAAGCCGCTACATATGAGAAGAAAACTCTTCTTCTCAATTGTTAGCAAGTTTATCTTTTTAGCTACTTATACGTAAAAACGATACAAATGAAAGAAAAAAATATCTCACTCACTTGTTTGTCGGCTTATCTCATCGTATACTTAAAAGAACTCATATGAGAAAGCAAAATTAATACTGTTCAAATGTTAGCAAACTTATCGTCTAATACCTAAAACTACTACATGTGAAAGAGAAAAATCTTCCCCTCAATACCCTTCTCAATTGTTGCAAGTTTATCTTCTATAATACCTAGAAGCACTAAATATGAGAGAAAAAATTTTCACGCTCAATTATTAGCAAGTTTATCTTCTTATACCTAAAACCACTACATATAAGAGAAAAAGCCTTATCACTCAATTGTTAGTTGACTTATTTTCTTATAGTTAAAAAACTACATAAGAGAGAGAAAGTTCTTCCGCTCAATTGTTAGCACGTTTATCTTCTAATACCTAAAAACATTTGTCGTGCTTTTAAGTAGTTCTAATACCTTATTGCGGCCCACCCACCGCACCGAAACCCGACCGGCGACCCGCTTTTACCGACCCGTCCACGTGGCACGGCCCACCGCACCGAAACCCTATCGCATACGCTTTTACGCCCCGTTACGCGGCACGGCCCACCAACCGTACCGAAACCTGACCGCTTTGCCGCAGCACGTGGCATGGGCTTGAGGACCACTGCCCCCCTATAGTAGATAACTAAACATACGCCCAGAATCTCGGAGTAGCGACATTTTTGCCCAGAAAGGTATATGTTTACTGTTCTTTTTATTTTCCTTTATTTTTCTTGCTAAATAAGTACATACCCTCACATATACCATCATATATGGAGTAAAATTTGTTTTTTACTCCATATATGAGACAAAAAGTTTTCCTGCTCAATTGTTAGGCGGTTTATCTTATACCTAATAGCATCATATATGATAGAGAAAATTTTTTCCCTCAATTGTTAGCCTCCTTAATTATGGCCTAATATTCTCATACCTAGAATTCTATAGCTAAAAGCATTACATATGAGATAAAAAATTATCACTCAGATGTCAGTCGGCTTATCTTATACTTAAAAGCATCACATATGAGAGAAAATCTTGAAGCTCAATTGTTAGCCGACTTATCTTATACTTAAAACCACTGCATATGAGAGAAAGTTATTTCGTTCAATTGTTAGTTGGCTTATCTTATACCTAAACGCTCAATTATGAGAGAGAAAATTCTCCCATATCTTCCAGAAATGTGTAATGATTCACCCAATTAAGTACTTCCCCCGTCCCGAAAATTTTCATGATTAAATTAATTTTAAAATTCAATACTATTCTAAAAAGTGAATACATTAAATATTAAAAATAACAAATACTACGTATTAGTTAAATAATACTACGTATTGTTAGATGACTTATCTTACCTTATACTAAAAGTATTTTAGTACAGGGATTAACGTTAAGTGACGGATTGAGAATGGTAGAAGGGCTTAAAATGAACATTTTCATCGTTCCTTCGTTGTTCTCTATATGTTTATAATTTTATCTTTTACCATTTGTACTCTCTTGTTTTTCTTTCATTTTTGTGTTCGTCTTTTCTATCTCATTTGCATCTCTTTTTCTCTCTCTACTTTTTCTTCTTGCGCTTCAGTAAATCCAATGAAACACTGAACTTTGAGAGATTTATTTCTTAGGTGAATTATTTGTATATCGATTTTGCTATTACACATTGTAGGTTACAAATTTGTTTTTTACTCCGTATAATTTAATCAATTCTCTAATATTTACCTGATAATCATTTTTTGAATTTTAATGAACCAATGTTTTAATTTTGTGCCAAAGAAAAAAATGTGTTTTTCTATGAGAGAGAAAATTCACCCGCTCAATTATTAGTCTGCATATCTTCTTATATCTAAAAGCACTACACATGAGAGAGAAAATTCTTCCTGCTCAATTATTAGTTCACTTATACCTTCTTTATTATACCTAAAAACACTACATATGAGAGAGAAAATTATTTCGCTCAATTATTACTTCATTTATCTTATCTTCACTTATAACTTCAATTGTATGTTATTACTAACCATATTGAAGTTGAAATCTACCTATTTGATCGAAGTGTATTGTACTAATAATAGACAATAACAAATATAATGTTGTAAAGATAGAGTTGCATCATGGTCGGCTTGGATTCTCAATTGAAATTTATGATGAACATGATTGTGGATAACCAATCAGATATATGTTTGGACATTATATAATATATGACGAAGTCTATAATTTCATTCTTTAATAGTAACGGTTACTCGCATGAGGTGTCAAACACACACACAAATGAGTGAGAATGAGCGTGTAAATCTTCCTGATGGGACTATGGTAAGGTATATTTCGATTTTGGTTAAAAAGAAATGTAATGACTTCAATTTCTTTATTTATTAAAATCAAGTATTGCTTTTATGAGATGTCAAAATTTGGATTGAATATAAATAACTTTATAAATAATAATGTTTTTTAATCTTTAATCTTAAAAGTTGAAATAACACTCAAATGTAACTTTTCACACTTTACCAATAATGCTATTTTTTAACAATATTGACATTTTTCAACAAAACTTTCGTTCTTTCAAGGGTGATATGATTCTTGAATGATATCATTTCCCCCGTTGATATTCATAGGTGAATTTTCATATTTTTACCAATAAAGTGATCCAACATTTGATAGTATTGACATTATTATTAACATTGTGACGTTTTTTCAAAAATGAAAAGTAAATAATAAATTGTTATTTTACATGACTATTACAATGCAAATACACTTAAAACATTTTTAGAGTTTTGCAACATTCTCATTTGTACTTCGGTTGTTACAAAAAATATATCAAATACAACGTAACACTTCAAAAAACATCTATTTTTTGAATTGATATAACTTTTTTAATTTATACTCTGATTGTAAAAATAAGGATACTGGAAAAAATGTGAGTTATTAGCTCTTGGGAATTGTAATTATGTTTTATTTTACTTCCTCCGTTCTTTTTTATTTGCAACATTCCTATTTTCACGTTGCCAATGTACAACTTTGATCGTCATTATATTTAATTCACTATTAGTAAAAACTATGGAGTATGTAAAATCAAATTATAAAAATTTGTAATGAAAGAATTCAACAACAACTTTCAAAAAATATAATTCTCTTACATGAACAAACAAAATATAGTTAAAGTAGAATATGTGAATGATAAAAAATTTCCATGTTGCAACTATAAGAAACGGAGGATAGTATGGAGTATATCAAAGTGACTGTAGAAGTGTACTCGTAGCAAATTTAGTGACTTGTTTGTCCATGAATATTTATTTGAGACGTTTTCCTTATAGTCACGCGGATATATATAATGTTAAACATAAATATAGTCACTAAAAATTATTAGGTTATATTTTTTATCCATTATATTTATTTTAGTCGTATATTATAAATTATTTATTTATTTAATACGGAATAATCCGTATCAGGTTGGAAAAGAAGAAGGTTGTTTAAAAACATTTCAGTTTTTTTAGAATTTTATATATGCAATATTGGTGTCATATGAAAGATCGTAAAAAAATATGAGTTTTGATATACTTTTTATAAAAATTAGATAAACGATGAAAAAGTTAAAACACTTTAAATAAAACGGTGTTTTTTTATTTATATGACCCATCAATTGATACCACGTATGTTTCTTTTCTTTTCTTGGTATATAAATGATTAAATGCTTCCCTTCCTTTGAATTTGGGGTTGCCTAACATGAATCGATCTATGAATTGATCTATAATAAACCTTCATAATTTTTTAAAATTTTATATATTAAATATTGGTGTCATATGAAAGAGCGTAAAAAATTATGAATTTTGATATATTTTTTGTAACAATTAAAGTAGAAATTAAAAAGTTATACCACTTTGAAAAAAAGAGTATTTTTTTATACAATTGGCACCAAAAATTTAATCTCTACTCAACCTAAGAATGCTATTGTTATTATTATGTTAAGTAGTACTCGGTATTTATTATCCTTTTTCCAAATACAAAATCTAGAATTTGACACATGGCATTTTTATAGCAAAGGAGCAAATTGTGGGGAGATGGACACATAAGATTAATGAAGGGCATACTTGTATTTTAATGAGCTATTTCTTTTCTTATATATAAATAGATGATGTTTTTACTTGGACTGTAATTCCTCCCAGACCAGACCAGACCAGACCAGACCAAACCAGATCGGACTTGGATAGTTATAAAAATACAAAGAAACCAGACCAGACCAAACCAGACCAGATCAGACCAGACCAGCAAATTACAGTCCAAGTAAAAACATCCTTAAAGACTATATTTCTTATAAAAAGTGACTTTTGCGTTCAGTCAAGGAATAACGAGTTATATTGCTTCTTTGGAGTTGCCACTGATCTTTTTGTCATTATATCCCATATCTGAATGCTGTGATATCAACTTATATCTACTTTCAAAAAAAATATTTAATCACATAAACTTCGTTCATTTAATGGAAATCTATTTAAAATGTTCAAATTTATCTAACCTTTAGTTCTTTAATTATTTTATATTCACTTCAAGAAAAGTACGTAGTAAACTAGTAATTTTATGACAACTACGGAAGTGCGGAGTACGGAGTAGCTTAAATGCTTAATTAACCTTAATCAAAAGATTTATGCTAGTATATATGCTCTTATATTTTTTTTATAAAAAACATGTGACAACATTATATTGCTCAACATATCACTTGTTTTTAAGCTTTTTTCTAAGGGGGTGTATTGACTATGGATTGTGGTAGACTTTTTAAATCTATGGACATTTAAAAAAGTCAATGGACTTTTAAATTCATAGACTTTTTATGAATGAATTCTATTGACTTTCAAAAAGTCTATAGAATTTTAAATCCGAACCGTACGTCACTGTCGGTCGTCAGAATTTTCACCTAGTAGATCGTCGCTAGAGATCTGCATGTCCACCTCCGTCACCAGAGTTCACCGTCATCGTCATCGGATTGATCCGCCACCAATAAAATGACTTTAATTAAGTAAGGGAGCTATGGGCAATTAATTATATAAAATAATTAAATTAGGAGTAGAAATGTAATATTTAGTTCTATTTAAGGAAAATCAAACATATGATCATACTTTGGAAAAACTGCTATGTTTTAGTCATATTGTGAGTAACTTCCTCTGTATAATATGATAAGAAATAATTAAATAAATAAATGAAACAAATGTAATTCATCTAACAAGACTCTACATACATGAATAAATGAAGCATAAGAATCCATTTTTTTATTAAAAAGGAAACTCTAAGTTTCGAGAATGCTTAACAATATCGGTCTCTTTATGATCAATTGTTATACTCCCTCCATCCCAGTCATTTGTTCCAAGTTTGAATCAGATTGTTTTTTATGAGGTTGTTGATTCCACGTGACCATGTCTATTCCCAGGGCTCACAAACAGCTGACATAAATGTCTTGAATGTTATCACGTATCTTTTTCTGGATTTTATTATAAAAGCTGATCCTTTATATTAAAAAAAAAATACACCCTAAGTTTGTTTGTATTTATAGCATTTTTCTAATCGCCAAATGGGTAAGATGAGGTTAATTAAGGTTGCGGTGATTACCTTTCCAATGCGGTACCAAAGATTTTCATGGAACGAAGCCGCGGTAAGAATGACTTGAGGGAAGCTAGTGGCTGCCTTGATGGTGCCGTTGAACGAAATCCCCCTGCCGAAGTGGGAGACGCCATGCAACGCCTCTGACCACCACTCGAAGGCGGGGACGCCGAGTCGCGGAATAGCCGGGGCGGAGCTAACGAGCTGGGCAATCTTTTCGTCGAGAGTGAGGTTGGAGACGAGATCTTTCACTCTGTCGCTGATGGAGAGATTGGTTTGGCAGAAGCGGAAGGATACTGTGAGCGGGTCGGACCGATCGCAGGAGAATGGCACTTGAGCCGGTTCGGTGGAAGTAATTAGGAGTGCTAATGATAAGATTAAGGATTGCAGTTTCATGGCTAAAAAATGAGAGTGGCTGTGTTGTGTTAGTAAAAGATCGAGTATTATCTTGTTGTGAAGTTCTTTGAATGCCTGCAGGACCATTCATTCTTATAATGAAATCAAAAGGAGAAAAGCGGCAAGTTTTCGTTTTTATAGATTTCGTAGTAGCTAGGTGCTAGGTAACGTAGAAAAAGTGAAAAAAAAGTGAAATGTCAAGTGCGTCACCCCATACGAGAATAACAAACACCAAAACAGCGGTCGTGCCGACGGTATAGAGCTAGAGCTTTCGAGAAGTTGGTGTCGACTTCCCCTCGATAGAGTAGTTTGAAGATCATTTGTTTTGATTTTTTGAATTTTTTATTAGCTAATTTTTTTATCAAACACGCTGTTTTTGAATTCGCGGGCTGAATTGCCATATACTGAGAAAAAATAAAGTTCAAATTACTCTTCTTATTGTATTCGCTGAAGTTACGTACCATTGATGATCATTTTAGTTATTTTTCATATAATTTTTTCCCCTATTTTATTAACAAAAAATATTTTAAATATAATTTTTTCATAAATCAACAGAATCAATCAATGCAATCACTTCGACAAGAAATTCATAAATTTCAACAGAATCAGCTCATTTAGTCCATTTCGGTGTTATTAAACTGACTCTCAATCTTTAATCGATCATTCTTGTTGTATACAGCTTTATACCCACCATGTTTGTGAATGTTTTTTTGTCTGTGAATCCGGTTTAACAGACAAAAGATGTCTTATTTTATCTGTACAAAATTTGCCCAAAAATATTTTGTCTATGAACGAGATTCACAGACAATGAAAAAGTCTTGCACAAACATGGTGAATATAAGAATGGAGGGAATAGCATTTTAATCTTTAATTGGTGTACGTGGTGAGTATAAGAATGGTGGGAATAACATTTTTATCTTTAGAAATTGCTCTAAATAGGAGCAAAAACGTTTTGAAGTTCCAAAATAGGAGTATAATGTTTTTTATTCCCTAAATAGGAGTAATCTGCCAAATTTGGAAAAAAATGCCACGTTTTAAAGCCTAGTAATGCCAAACTTGGCAGAAATTTACTCTTATTCAAGGAATAAAAAACATGATACTCCTATTTTGGAATTTCAAAACTTTTTTACTCCTATTTAAGGAATTCTCTCTTTTATCTTTAATTGGTGTACGTATGGCCCTTCCACCGCTTAAACCACGAAAGAATGAGTTACTCTAGCTAGTTTGGAAGTTGGCATTGTGGAGTGTGGGTGCTTGGTAGGGATGTCAACGGGGCGGTTCGGGGTCGGATATACCATTACTCGTACCCGCCTTGTTTGATAATATTTTCCCCGAAAACTACCCCGTTACCCGTCGGGTATTTTTTATCCGCGGGTAACGGTTTTCCCCACGGGTAACGGTTTTCTCGCGGGTAACCGTTTTATTAAAAGATAAATCTTTTTCTTCAAAATTAGTATAAATCCTAAAATGATGATTAACTACTTATAATTGACCACCTAAATTAAAAAAAATCAAAAATAAATAGCACCACAGATAAAGTTTTTTAAAACATCACAAAAAATTACAATCGTTTGAACCTAATATTCACTAATTATATATGTCTAGATTCAAAATTATGAATCTCTGACCACATCAACATCAAAAGATTAAGTCTTGTCTCGATAGTAAAATCTAAATATGAATCACAAAAACATTTAACTTCCAAAAATTCAATAATCATACCCCACCAGCATTCAACATCTAAATTTAAGAAAAGTAATGTATACAAGTAACATAATGAAAATGGGAAGTTTTTTTCCTAAAATATTACTAATAAAAATATATGGACACAAATGTGACTATAACTTACCATGGGTAAGTTTTATTGTCTCTACGATATAACATTTGAATAAAATTATAAACACTAAAGTTACTAGAGTCACATTTAGATATTCTTGTAGTTACTGTCAGGGCCGGCCCAGGGCAAGTTTACCCAGACCGATCGCATATGGCCCAATATTTTAGAAGGCCCAAAAATAAACAAATTAGTAGTAGTATTACTTAGCCCAGGTTTTTTGCTATGACCTGCGAATAGGAAAAACAGAGCTACGAATGAACTCTGAATTGCGGAGTGCGGAAGACTAGAAGACGAGCTCGGCCAGGGGCGGATGTACTTGAGGGCAAGGGTGGGCTTCAGCCCAGCCCAATTTTTTTTAGTTAGTATAGGTGATGGATAGTGTACACGGGGGTAGCTTATCCGAGGGGTTATTACGGGGAATAACTAGAGAGAAGTCAGAGCAAGTAAGTAGAGAGAGAAAGTATATTAGAAAGTATGCAGCGTGTGTATTGTCTTGTGACTTGGTTACAAATGGGGAAACGAGGTGCCATTTATAGTAGCAATAAATGCCGGACAGGGACACGTGTCAAGCGTCCATTGGCCGAGAGGTCACCTCAACTGGTTGGCGCTGGCAACCGCATGTGGCCGCATTTAATGCGGCTGTTGGATGGGACGTTGTACAGGGTACGGTGATCCATACGCATGTGGAGCGGATATTATGTCGGAAAAGGCGCCTTCGGCAGTAGATGACTAGCCGAGGGCTCTGAGTACCGGGGACCCCCTTAGTGCCGGGGGCTCCAGTTGCCGAGGGCTACTGATTTTCGCCGTTTTTCCCAGTAACTTTGTTTTCCTGTCTTAGCCCTTTGGCCAGGGGGCCGAAAGCACCCCTGGTGCGCATTGTGGGCTGCTTGGTACTCTGGGCGCTGTGATTTGGGCCTGTTGTGCTTTCTGGGCCTGTTGGGCATTCATTGGAGTAGTAAGAGTCTGTGGGCCGGGGGTTCCCGGGCCATATACTCCATCAGGAGTCCCTCACTCCTTTTGCCGAAAGGTACTTGAGGGAAAAGGAGTAATCGTGTTTGTCCTCTGTCGTTGTTCCATTGTAGTTTGTGGTGTTGTGGGTAGTTTGCTGTTTGTTTATTCTGCCGAGGGCAGTCCCTCAGTTACCCACATGTTGGGACTTGAGGGGTCATGTTTGTGATTTTTGTGATTTTCCCGAGGGGGGTTCTCCAGTCCCCCACTCTTTGAGGCACTTGCAAAGTGGTGAAAAGGTGTAGAGTAGTTGCGTTGCTGTTTTGGGCCGAAGGCTGACGCTTTTCGTTTCATTTTGGGGGGATGCCTCGTTAAAAAACTCATTAGGAAAAACCCTGTGGGAAAAAATCCTAATGAGGGAAAAAGAGTGCACCAAATTCCCCCAACGATGAATCGAAAATGTGAAGCCCTGGTTCGAAATGGAGAATAATGCTGATGCCGAAGGCTTTCCTTGTTCTGAGGGCTCATGTGTTGATTAGCTGGAGGCTTGTTGTTGATATCCTGGGAGGTGCCGAAGGGGAGTCCCTCAATCTGTGGATCGAGGGCGTAATGAATGCGAGTAGTAGGTGAAGTGTTACCGGAATGTTTCCTGTTTGTTGATTGGTCAGTGAGGAGGGTATCCGAGGACTCCCGTTACCTGTGTGCCGTAGGCTGTCCGTCAATGAGGCGTATTCCCCGGGGGCTACCCGGCCCTCAAAGTGCTGAGGGGGGATCCCCGAGGGGTGGGCCTGTTATGAAGCCGTGGGCTTCTGAAGGAGTGAGCCCGAAGGCATCTGTTATGTAGTGTGTGGGGCACAAACCGGGAGCGTCCCTGGGTAAGTGTACCCGGGGACTCTTGTTGATGAAGTAGAGTGAAGTAAAAGGCCCCGGGGCTAGTCCCTTGGTTGATGAAGGAGTGGGCTGCTTGGTGCAGCCGGGAGCTCCCAGAATATAGCCGTTGGAGATATAGCCGTTGGAATATCTAACGTCAGAATATAGCCGTTGGGGGGGGGGGGGGGCTGCCACGTGGTGTGTGCTCGTTGGCTGCCCGTGGGCGGGTGTCACCGATTGGGTGAAACCACAGTTTGTAATGATGGCAGTTCAACCGGAGGCCCGGTTTCCAGGCCCAAGCCCGGATCCAGGCGCCTATAAATACCCCATGGCCGGACACCACTCTTCCTGTGCGATCATTTGTTAGCGAAGCTCTGCCGCATTTTTTCTAGAGAGAGAAACACTGCCCTCGATCTAACTCCTGCTTTAAGGTCAGTTCCCCATCTGTTCTTCTCCCTCCTTAGCTAGCTGTAGCGGCCTTAGATCTAGGAGTTGTAACCTAGAACACTTAGTGTTTCCGAGCCCTCGAACCAGTGGAAAGATGTCTTCCCAAAGTGATTCCCAGGACATATCGAGGGATCCCTCGATGGAAGAGGAGAGCTTCTCGGACGCGGGGTCCTCGAGCGAGCAACCCTCGGCGCAGGAGGATGTCGCGATGGCGATGGAGGTGCAGAAGGAGTTGGTGACTGAAGTCGAAGCCCAGGACTTCGAGCAAGAGGCGGAGGATGAAGAGCTTGCCCTGGCCGTACAAGTTGCAGAGGAGGAGGAAGAGAAGGAGAGGCTGAGGGTGACAGTGGCTGTTCTTCCCCCTCGGGGTGCTGGTGAGGCAGGGAGCTCTCGGCCCCTCAACCCGACGCCGATAAGAGTGGCCCCCGGGAAAAAACAGGAGAAGAAGAAAACTGCTCCCCCGAAGAAGTGCATTGTTGCTGATCAAGGGAAGCCCATAGATGTGCCCGAGGGGTACTCCTGGCTGAATACTGCTGCCCTCGAGATAGGGTCGAAAGCTGACAGGGAAGATATGTACGTGACTCAGCTGCACGTGAGGCCTTCGGCTGTGGTGGTGGCGACAGGCCCTGATGATGTGCTCTCCCGGGCTCCCGAGGGTTGCATCGCCGTGCATATCCTGTCGGTATCAATGGGGCTCCGGTTCCCCCTGCACCCCTTCCTTTGGGAGTACATTCGGTATGTGGGCTTGGTCCCCTGCCAGTTGACGCCTAACAGCCACTCCTACGTGGCGGGCTTCCTGAATCTCTGCCGGGCTCGAGGGGTGACCCCCAGCCTGGATTTGTTTTTTCAGAGCTTCAACCTCTACCGAGGGGGTCACGCGAACGCCGAGGGCTTCGCCAATCTGCAACAGGTAGCCCGGTGGAAATTATTCACAGAAGCGCCCTCGTCCAACAAAGGCTGGAAGGAGCGGTGGTGCTACGTT